TGCAGTGACGATTAGAGAGGGAGGGAAAATGAGGGAATGAGAGGGAGATGGGAGTACTGAGATTCTCATATCGCCGCTGCCAAGAGTTGCAGCGGCGATCAGAGAAAGGGAAGAAGGGAAGAATAAGAAGAAGGACTGAGAGTAGGAATTCCGGTGAGACGAAGCCGAAGGAAGACGAATATCTACGAAGCTAGAAACAATGGATGACCGGAGGAACTAGTCAAAACTAGTGAGACTGTAAGAAAGGTGGAGTATAGCCTTTGTGGGGTGCTCTATTTCACCAAGAGGAAGACGAACAATAGTTCGCCAATGGAAAGCGAAGATGTAAAGGAAGGGGGAAGAACATGGAAGTAGAGAAAATGGAAGAACGGAGAGGTACTAGAAGATAAATGATCCTGGTCACCGCCGCTGGTATTTCCTGTGTTCGTTGTTGAGAAGATGATGAACAATGCTTTTTTTGGGGGCGAAAAACAAAAGACGGAAGAAGAAGAGAAGAAGAGAGGAGAGAGGGAGGAAGGGAGTGGCTGAGAGGGGTGCCGCCGCCGCTGCTCCGCTTCTGGTTTCAAACGGGGAAGGGGAGGTAGCAGCAGCACAGTGGTAACAGTGGTTTCTCGAGTTTTTCCACCGAGGTCGCACTGTTTTGGTGCGACCTCATTTCCACGATTTTGGGATCTGGCATCCCACATTGTTCTCATCCCATCCCTCTATTTCCCTCAAAATAAATAAGAGAAAAGGGAATATTTTTGGAATATTCTCTTTTTCTCATCCCCATCCCATAAACCAAACAGAGCCTAAGAGAAAAGATCTAGGCCTATGAAGATACAAAAGCCCATTTGTGAGTGTATGGCATCTAAAAAAGTCATGAAGCTGAACCAAAGAAGAATGAAGATAATATGAATCCCAAAATTCAAAGTCTGTTTAAGATGACGAATGATATGTTTTTTTGCAAGGAGGACACCAATATCAGGTCTTGTAATGGATAAGTAGAAACCTTTCAAACAAAAAAAAAAAAAAAAAAAGAATTCGGCTTCAGTCAAGGCAAAGTCTGTCTAAGCAGCCTTTGTTGCCTTACATTGAGAATATCTTCGTACTTATGTGCTTTATTTCATGGGGTGATATTCCCAATGCAAGGTTGGGAAAGGCTATTAGAACGGTGTAGGCACAGGTTTGCCCTGGTTGAAGCCAATCTCCAAAAAAAAGAGTAATGGATAAGTAGAAAGAGACGTAAAATTTCAGTGGTCACCCCCTCCATCGAAAGTAAAGTTTGGGTTTAAGAAGAAAGTGTAGAAAGGCAACATTACTTATTGAAAGTAGACTTGTGGGTCCTATTTAAGAAAACAAATCAAATAGTGCTAAGCTTGATTACAGAGTTAAAGGGTCTCTTCATAATTTATACCTGTTCTTTGATTGGGACCTTGGCCATTAAACAAGTCTTGAAGCGATCTTTGGTGTTTATGACATGAAGTTGGTGTACTTAGGTTCACCTTAATCATGTTTGTGTCAAAATTGTATTAAAGTGGTAATAAACATTTCAATTTCGAATTTACCCACTTAATTTGAAAATCTATCTATATGCTTAAAGCATTAGGAGGGTGTACGACAACATTGTGAGGTTGACACTTGTATAATTTTTTTCTCTAAATTATTGACACATGTCTCTCTCTCCTATCTTTTATTTATTCTTTTCTCCCACCTCTCTTTGTTTGAAAAATTCATATATAAGACAAACCTTCCTATATAATTGTTTCTATAATATTCAAAAATTATAGTAATGCCACATATAAGACAAATCTCTTTATCTAATTGATTCAATGTCATTCGAAAATTATAGTAGTGCCGCATACAATTATTTACGATTATGACATCCTATAAATAAAATGCCATTCCTGTTCTTTCTCTCCCTCTCTCATATTCTCTATCTCAACTTTTATTTATTTTATTATTATTATCTAAACATTTTATTTATTCAATAAAATTAAATAAATTATTTTTCTCTCTCCTATTCTTTATCTCAACTTTTATTTATTTTATTATTATTATCTAAACATTTTATTTATTCAATAAAATTAAATAAATTATTTATTTTAATAAAATAAATCGGTAGAATAAAAGAGATGTGACATTAAGAGATAGTTTTCAATAAACATTTATTTATTTATTTTACTAAATTATTTATTTATTTAGAAATCATTTACTAAAAAATTATTCTCTCCCCTTGAGCCCAATATTTAGTGTTGTCAACAGGTCAGGTCTGGTTTGAGATAGCCTATATACCAAGTCCCATCCCAATAGACTTTTATTTATTTATTTAATTTATTTAAGAAAAAACTATGGCTGAACCAATGTGTTGGATCTATCCTGATGGAACTAAATTGACTAAACATAATTATAACGGTTTTGGTTTCATGATTTTGTCTTGATTAATTATTGGATTGATTCTCATTCTTACTTGTCCATAATTGATTCAGGTCCGGAACTGAGCATTTTATGAAATATATAATTTTTTATCTTTCTTGTATTTTTTTATCACGTTTCATGTTTGAAATAGTAAATTTGGTAAATAATAAATAAGATAATATTAGTTAAAAATGTTTAACTTATTAACATAAAAATAAATTAGTATTATTTTGACTATTGTTTTCAATATAATGAGGTCTATGGTTTGATCCCAATTAAATAATCGGTTCAAGACTGGTCCTACATGGTTGTTTATTATTCATAATAATATAGTTATAATTATTTTATTTTAAAAAATATAACCTAATTTATTATTGTATCTCCCGTGGCTTTCAAACTGTTGTTGACTCAGACGGTTCGGCCCAGGAACCGTTCAGTTAACCAGTTCCGTTTTACCCCAAACCCGGTCCCTAGCCAAAACCATTGAATCAATCAATGACCCGTTGACTCGGGCAGTCAAACCGTCGATATGTCAACCCGTTCAATGGTTTTTGGTCGTTTTTTATTTTTAAACTTGTTTTGTCAAAACAGGCCATCCGTTCAAGCCAGACGGTCAAACTGTCGACCAAAAAACCAATGGCCATAATAATTTCGTTTTTGAATTATTTTTAAAACCGTGATATATTTCCAAATAGGCATAAAAAAATTATATCTCCAAATGGCATTTTTAACCCCGCTAGTGATGTATTTATGACCCAAAGTTTAAAATATTAGATCATGTATATATATTTGAATGAAGTATTATTTTGATATATAGGTATACATTTAATGGTTTTTACAAATTTATTTAGGTAATGAATTATTGAATTTTTATTTTATTGTTTAATTTAAACAGTTGATTTTGTATTATACATGCCATTTATAAATAATTAAACAAGTTAATCATATAAATTTGTTTTACGCAGGTCATGTCATGTTACATGTATAATAAACAGATTGTACTCATGTTTGTAATTTTGACATAATTAATTAATTGTGTGTCATGCCAACCCATATATCCAAATACTCCTATCTCAACATATCATGAAAACATGAATTGCCACCCCTAGACAAAACTTATGTAGCGTGGTTTTGTTGAACTAGTATGTGCTTAAAGATAAACACTATGTTTCCTAGTAAATCTGTGAGAAAAGGAAGATAATGAAAAAATTCTTGGGAGAATGACGATTCAGCCCAAGGTCAGAATTTTTGTCCAAAGTAAATTTGGGGTGGGTGTTAGCTCGGAATTGATGCCAATTTACGAGTGGGTATTGGTGTGTAGAGTGGAGATTTTTGATATTTTGAATATTTATAGCTCTGTAATGGAAATCAGAAATCGGCATTGGGTCTGTTCGTACTTCTTCGAAAATTCTTTGGTTTGTAGCAAGGTTCAAAATATCGATATGCCCGATACGTCGATAGGGGCATACCGGATGAATCAATACATTTTTTTACTTTTTTTTTTCAAAACCAATTCAGGGGGGCAGTTTAGAGCTCCTCCACTCCCTGAACCAATCAAACCCCAATACACCCACTGTAGAGGCGTATCGAAGAGGTCCCGGAACAATACGGATCGATACTTTTAACCTTGGTTTGTAGTTAGTTCCTAGAAAACCATTTAGCATTGTATTTGGTTCCTTGGAGACTAATAAAGGATGATTTAGGGACACAAGACCTATTATAGATCTATGATACCATAACATGATCAAGACTCTCCAATCAATATCCATCCTTGAACAGTAACTAAGCAAACAAAAAAAAAACATGGGTAATGGTCAAAAATTCTATTTAAACTGATAACAACAAAATGACTGCTTTATCAAAAGTAAAACCAATATTAAAAAAAACTGATCTAGAGGCTGAATCATTTTTACCTTTGGGTTGTGAGTCATCGGTTCAACCATCTAAGTTGAATAGGATAGAATTAGAACTGAAACTTGGATTGGGTTAGCCTGAACATGAGCCAAAAAAGTAGGGTTGGGTTGGGTTGAAGTTCGGGTTAGGGTTGAAAAATATGAATCTGACTAAACTTTGGATTGGGTTAGGATTAGGGTTGAGGCGTTGACCAACCTGAACCCAACTAACTTCATATTTGCGTGTATGAATATCATAAATATGTATGCAAATACTCCTGAATCCAACTAACTTCATATTTGCGTGTATGAATATCATAAATATGTACGCCAATACTCATGTATATGTGCAATCACTATTTATGCATATATGCATATGCAGCTATAGATCCATAAATGTATACATCTATATAGTCATTTATTAAAACATCATTATGTCATTGTCAAATCAGCATTTTTCTCATTAGGTTCATCCATTGTTAATAAATTACTTATCAAATAATTTTTTCGCCTTTGAAAAATAAATAAAAATATTTATTTTGATTTATGTAAGAACCAATCATGAAAAGCTTCATATTAACCTTTCCACGGTGGAGTTTTTATATTGTCAATAAATGATTTATCAAGTAATTTTCTCCGCTTTGAAGAATCAAGTAAAAGTATTTATTTAATAAACGGAAGCTATAACAAACAGAATAGTCAATATGGCCTAAGCATCGAAAATGAACAACGATTGTGATGGACCCGAAACCAGGTATTGATCTCAACGATCTAATCGTAAAAAATTGGTTTTGATACGGAGGGTGCATACCTCGCCGTTGGTTCATATTTTCACGGGATCATTTTCATTTGAACTCCTACGGTCCTACCCTATACATAAGCATCACAAGCCAAGCCATCAGAAGGAAAAGGAAGAAAGATTGGTAATTTGGTGTCGATATACCAACCAGCAGTGATGGCGGCGATCTCTTTCAACTGTTCAGTTCGATCGGACACCGCGTCTTTCTCCTCCTCTCTTTCCCCTCTCTCCCGACAACTTCTTCGCCGGCCCCTACTCTCTCACGGAAGATTCTCCGACATATCTATCTCCTCTCATGCCGTATTTCCGTCTCTCCGTCGCCGCATTTCCTGCCAGAGCTCATCTGCTGCACCTTCTGTTTCATCTGCCGTTAATGGAAAAGGTCGGTTGTATTCTATAGAACTATCTCCGTCTTCTCGGTTTTAAGTTCTCTTTTTTTTTTTTTTTCTACTATTTGTTACTGCACTTGCATTTTAGTATCATTTGTTCAAAATCTGTTCTTTGAGACAAATCAAGTTGAGATGTTGTGTTTTGTTAACTCGATGTTTTGAAGCTATATCCAATAAGGTTGTCTTCTTCGATAGATTAAAAATATGAAGAAAATGCAGTGCTATTGAATTGTCTCTGCATTTCTCTCTGTAAGTTTCAACTTCAACTTCTGCCATTTGAATTGAAAGTGTTCTGATCTTTAACTATTAGGGGTTTATAATCTACCATTTATAAGTATACTTTAAGATATAATATCAGATGGAAACGTAAACGACCAGACATTAGACAATAGACATGATGTTCGAAATTCTACGGTATCTATACATTTTTGGTTCGTAAGTTGGAGTGTGAATCTCCCACTCTTTAGTGGAAGGTCAAATCTGCCTGGGATAAGTGACTTTCTATTAAATATCCAAGTTATTGTGATGTGAAGATATGCCACCTTGTTGGCGTTCTGAGGTACGCGATGTAGCTTGGCTCGTCTTGCTTTATAGATTCATACTTAACCTTTTATTTATCTTAAAAGGCATGAAATGTGCTATTTGAACTTTGATGGTCTAAGATCCCACTGAAAGGTGGTCTTCATGAAATCCCGTTTATAGAGGATGTTTTGTTGAGACTGCAAGTGTATCCGATGCTAGACCTTATTGCTAATTATTTCAAAATTTGAGAATTACTTTGCAACATTTCCACTCTCGGGATCATTTCTAATACCTTTCTTTTAAGTGTAAATGTAGTAAAACAAATGCAGTGGAATATAAAAAACTAACAAAAAAAAAATCCCCAATCTAAGTTCCAAATTTATTAGTACTTAGTAGTTGGTACTTTGGACAATGTAGTTTCGCAATTGAATTAAGTAATAACTAATAAATCTTTGTCTGCTGAAATACGTTGTGTGTTGGTTAGGAGTCAGGTATGGTCTAATTCCATGTTTTTCACTAAAAACGCATCTTGATTCTGTATTTCCTCGTTAGTATAGAATGATAAATATAAAACAAATCTGACCTGTGAAGTTCAAAAAGTACCAGCAATAATTGGCTTCTTTTATTTTTACTGTTGAAAAGTGAAAGTGCTCAATTCCATTTGGAATTAATGAAGTTGAATGATTTTTTTTTTTTCGTTTAATGAGAAAAATGCTATCTTAATGTCAGGAATGAAGAAGGCACAAGCAATATATAGAAGCTAGATATAGTGATGAACAAGATTGCATCTTTTTGATAGACAGAAAGCTAATGCAGCTTAGCTTAGTGTTTTCTTTGTTTTTTCACATGTAGCACTCTCAAATAGAGCATCTTTTCATCCTGATTGCTGGAAAGTATCCTTGACCAAAATCACCTCAGCACCATGGGTTCAATAATTTCTCAATCATTCTATTTTTCTTTTGAGATTTCCACAAAGATGTGATTAATAACCAAGAAGAAAAGCCATTAGATCAAAATCTTGAATATACACATGATAATTTGTTTGGTTCTCCTAGACTGGACCAGAAATATCATGCATGCAAATGGCATTTTATTTGCTATTATTGGATGATTCTAGACATCCATTTATATCATTGTAGCATAACTGTATTTAAGGCTCAGTTTGGAAGGTGTACAAATACAAATATGTATGGTACAAATACATAAAAAATAGAAGGCTTTGCATGTACACTAAAGGCTCTGCATAGTTGTATTTGTACTCCTTCCAAACTGAACCTAAATGTATGCCCCAAGCTTGGATCCCTATGGCTCCGAATGTACACTAAATCTTTTATTATACAATCCCTGATGAGTATATTTTAGTTTCCTCAATTAGAAGTGTCTATATTTGGCTATTGTTTGAGCTCTATTGGTATTAATAAATATTGGTCATTTGAACTGTAAATGCTACTTGTTCCATACTAGGAGCCTTATAAAAACTGCATTAGCAAATGATTGAGTAGATTTGGCTTTGATGCTCTTCTGTTTTCATTTCAGCGAAAGAAAATATGAAGGACTTTCTGCATATTAGTGATTTTGACAAAACCACTATTCTGAAGATCCTTGATCGTGCCGTTGAGGTAAAAGCTCTGCTAAAATCAGGGGAAAGGACATTTCTTCCATTTAAAGGGAAGACAATGGCAATGATCTTCACAAAGCCATCCATGAGGACTCGGGTTTCATTTGAGACTGGGTTCTTTTCGCTAGGTGGGCATGCCATATATTTGGGTCCAGATGACATTCAAATGGGCAAGCGGGAGGAAACACGTGATGTTGCTCGTGTTCTCTCTGGCTATAATGACATCATAATGGCACGTGTTTTTGCTCATCAGGTATGACAGTGAGTCTTGTTGTTTCCATTGCTCCCAAGAGTGTAGCAATCATCATCAGCATCATTTTCTTTTTTTTTTCCCTTTAATCTAATTGACTCAAAAGTCTCAAATAGTGGATTCATTGTGTCATAGACCCTTCCAGTGCCTTTCAGTGTATTACAGTAAGAAATGATTTCTCATGTTCAAATATTTTGAAAAGATTAATCTTTCAGTAATCTGAGGAATAGCCATAGTAAAATCTCTTGTTTTAATTACCACAACATTGTTTAGGATTCTCATCTTTTTTTTTTGGGGTTCAATGTCAATAGTACAAATTATCTTTCAAGTTGCAAACAAGGCCATGAGTATCAGTATATTACATGGACTCGTTAAAATCCAAAGGAGTCTCTTATTTCCCTGTTTGGACATAAGAGAAATCAAGAGTTCAATGCAATTAATTAGAAATCAATTATTCATTTTCAAGTTGCAAATTCATAATATTTGATAAGTTCAATGTATTCATTTTCTTTATCAACAGTTCAATGCAATTAATTAGAAATCATTTAATTGTTTATGTTGCTTGGATTAATTCGTTTTTCTATGTTTAATTTGTTATATTTCCCAGAAATTCTTATGTTATTAATATAAAGCAAGAATATATTGTAAGATATGAAAAGTAAAAATATACTTGTTAAAGTTCATTAGTAAGATGAGTGATTGCACTATTTAGAAAGGACATAAGAGAAAATCAAGAAATACAAGTTTACAATGAGATCGATATTGGCAACATACATGGTTTGCCATGAAATCTAGGGCAAAAACGTCCCTAATTATATGGTTAGTCTTCAAATGTTCATTTTTGTGTCCTGTTCCCCAGTTTTATTTCATTCCTCAAGTCCTCTATTACCTTGGGGAAATAAAACTCTTCCATGAGCCCCATCCCATGGAGAAATTTAATAGCCTTTTATAGAATTACATATTCAAAGGTAATTACCTTTCTGTTCATCCAATGCTTCTTGCAACAGATGGCTGGTATTCTCAAGATAGCACCTGCCAAAACTTCATCCATAACATCTGATGAAATTCCACTTGATATCATCATTATTAGTTGATTATAGTGGCATGTGGAGAACTACATGCAGTATCATCTTTTGATCACATGAAATATCATCTTTCATAATATCTTCCTAGATTTCCCATACAGCACCATATTCCTATGTGATGAAAGCATATGAACATACTGCTTGTGCATCTTTTCTATGACAGAGTAAATGTATTCATATGTTGAGATGTCCCTGCACTTTCTGCCTTTAGGGCATCATTGAGTACTAAAGGATGGGTGCCCTTATTTTACATGTTATCTAGGAAACCGATATGTGGATTTCCTTGTGTATTATTGGTTTATATGCTCTTTATTATATTACTATCACTTAGGCCTCATTCGCTTTTCGGTAAGTTACTTACCCGGGTAAATGCAGTTATCTGGGTAAGTTTTTCCTGGGAAACACTTACCCGGGTAAGTGCATTTACTCATGTTCTTTTATTTCTCATGTAAATAAGGCAATGACCATTTTAGCCATAAAAATCCATTATCAAAAGGGCATTTTTGTCCCATTCAAGTATTGGCAATTTTTCCCCTAGGTGGGAAAGTTATTTACCCACCTAGGAGATGGGTATCACTTACCCGGGTAAGTGATACCCAGGAAAATAAACTTTCCCTGATCCCCACATAAATCTTAAAAAAGAACATGGGATTCTTGGTCAATGGGAACCAAAATCCCATTGACCAACTTTCCCCCCTTTCAAAATCCAAAAAAAGAACGCCCCTTTAGTGCCATCAAATGGATGATTTGAGTAAGTAATGGGCATTTTTTAATAGAATAAAACCACCCCCTTTGTATCAGTTTTTAGGGTAAATTACAGGAACCCCTGTACTTTGGGTAGGGGTGCAACTTTAGTGGGATAGGGTTGGAATTTTGTCAAAATTTCAATGGGCCCAACCCAAAGTCTGAGCCCGAAACAGTGTAAACTGTTAAGTTGGGCCAAGCCGAGTTGCACCCCTAACTTTGGTGCATATAACTCTTAATGTTGTAAATGGCAAGGATTTATATAGTTTACTGTATGAAAACTTCAGCATCACTTAGATGTCTCAGATCCATTAATTTATCTTTGTATACCACTCCAACAATTTGGTTTAATTACGTACATCACTTGGATGGATGAGATTATTGCATTGTTCCAGGAGACCACTTTGATGGCCTTGATTGGGATGATTTGATACATTATTTATATGGGCTAGATTGGTTGAAATCTTGGTACCACTTGGATGGTTAACATTAATTCATTGATCTTAAGAGACCACTTTATTGGCTTAGATCTTTGGGTTGATTGGATACATCATTTGAATGGATTGGATTAGATGAAATCTGGATAATCATTTGGATGGTTGGAATTAGTTGATTGATCTTGTTATGCCATTTTCATGACTCAACTTTTAGGTGTTGTTTGGTATATTACTTTATTTGTCTTAGATTTTTTAGAAAATTTGTTGCTTTTCCTGAATGGCTTAGTTAATATTTTGGTACATTGTTTGAATGGCTAAGATGAATTCCGTGCTCTTCAGAGTCTATTTTCATAGCGTAGATTTTTGTGCTGAACTGCTGAATTGTTACATTTTTTATGCCTAAATTAATTGAATCTTAGTACACCGTTTGGTTGGTTGAGATTAATGTATTGATTTCAAGAAATCACTTTGATGGCCCAGATCTTTGGATTAATTTGGTACATCATTTATTATACAACTCTAATGGCCTAGATTACTTGAAACCATTGCACACTGCTTGGATTTTCAAGATTAGTTGACTGATCTTAGATGTTAAGTTAAAAATATGACCAGAAATTTCTCTATTAGATTTAAAAATATGACAGTGCACATGGGTATATACTAATACCATAACTTCTCTAACAGAATGATATCAGAAAGGGCTGATATGGAAGTACAAGGGGCTGAGTCCCGAAAAATGGTATAGTGGGGATAAGTGTCACACCCCCAAAGTATAGCATGGGTTCTTGTAATTTGTACTCATTTTTATTGTTATTTAGAATGTGTCTTTTATCATGTTGCTAGGGGTTTATCAAAAAAGGAATATGCTGAAATTAGTTCCCTTTCAATTACTAGATTGACTGTGTAAAAAATATTTATTTTGTAACAGGTGCAAAAAATACTTTATTTTGTAACAGAACTTTTAAAAATAATATTCTTGTTTCATTTCAATCCAACTTTATCAGACATTTATTTGCTTTATAATTGAATATGTTGGCAATATGATACCTGATCATTGAATTACTAGATTAGCACCAAACATGAACTCCCCAAAAAAATCATTAAAAATGAAAAAAAGAAAACTCTCATCATTCAAACATGAACTTATACTTCCCTATATCGTGCTCTATTTCCCACAGTTTTCTCCTTAAAAAAGAACTTGCTTATGTTTGCGGTTCAAGTTTCTTATGTTGTTATCTGTGTTCCAGGACATCCTCGACCTGGCTAAATATGCTACTGTGCCTGTCATTAATGGCCTGACAGATTATAATCACCCATGCCAAATTATGGCTGATGCACTCACAATAATTGAACATATTGGTCAGCTGGAGGGAACCAAGGTTGGCCATTTTCTGTTTAGTTAAAACTCAATTTCTGCGAACAACCCGTGTGCTTTCTGGAGTCATTTGTCATCTCCTAACCGTAGATTTGGTTGTCATGATTCTTCCTAACTTGAATTCTCACAATGCAATTTCCAGGTTGTCTATGTTGGAGATGGAAACAACATTGTACATTCATGGCTATTGATGGCATCAGTGATTCCTTTCCACTTTGTCTGTGCCTGCCCAAAAGGCTTTGAACCCGATCAAAAGACTGTTGATAAGGCCCGAAGTGCTGGAATTAGCAAAATTGAGATAACCAATGATCCAAGGGAAGCCGTTAGAGGAGCTGATGTTGTCTACTCAGATGTTTGGGCCAGCATGGGTCAAAAGGAAGAAGCTGCATATCGTCGTCAAGCCTTTCAGGGATTCCAGGTAATTTGACTACAATGATCTCATATTATTTTTGTTACCAGCGTAGGTGTCAAGCATGTCTGCAAGCACATGATTGTGCAAGCACAGTAATGCTTCTTCCCCAGAATATTACTGGAATATGCATTTCACATTATAATTGCTGTCATGTCACGGCACCAGATCTCAACTAGTGGAGCCAAATACGTCTTAAGATTTGACTTTTGATATGCCTTAAATCTCCTTCGAGATTATACCATGTAGCATGTATGTCGCTTTTAATAGTTAGCACTGGTTTGGTTTTGAGAATTTGTACCAGAATTGAATGATCATGTTAGTAAAGCTTTCACAAAAGTAACTCTTTGCGGGATTTCTAAACATTACACATCTGGACCCTGTAAGGTTGTGTAACCTTCCTTAAATCACATGGACCATAGTGTAACAATAAACAATATGCCATAACTACCCACTTTAGGACCCTAAGCTATAGTATCGTAATATTGTGGAAATCTCAAATATTGTGGACATTTCCATGCAGGTAGATGAAGCCCTTATGGAGATAGCAGGTCCAAAAGCTTATTTCATGCATTGTCTACCAGCAGAAAGGGGCGTAGAAGTCACTGACGGGGTAATAGAAGCTCGCAACTCTATCGTCTTCCCACAGGCTGAAAATCGGATGCATGCACAGAACGCTATCATGCTTCATGTGCTTGGTTTGTAACAACTTCCTGACAGCTTAAACACCAGCTTTGGATTGAGTGGACCCGTCCATACTCAGACAACTAAAATGCCAATTTAGGGTTACAGTTTAAAACTTTAAACGAAAATTTTGTAGCAATTAACGATGCATTATCTTCATGTAGACTTTACGTTGATTCACCCTTTAAGGCATTAGCGAACTAAATGGATTTGGGCAAAGATCTCAATTCTCAACTGAAAGAAAGGCTCTACACCCCTTTTTCTTTATCTAATAGCTTGTTTACAACAGTTTTCTGGAGCTAAGCTTTTCGTTCAGAATTACACAAATAGCTGAAAGAATAGCTAAAGATACTTAAATTTTATCCATTGATGCATGAAATTATACAGGATATTCGCAATTGCTAGCAACTTCGATTATCGCTCTTCCGAATTGAATTTGTTCCAAGCGTCCTGCCATAATACCGAATGTCAGATTAAGGATAATTAAAAATAATTAAAATAATTGCTTGACAAACATGCATATACTAAGTTTTTGGAAAAGAAATGGAAAATTTAAGAAAATAAAAAAATCATAGACCATTGCACGTGCACATAAGCCTATGGCCACCTGAAATTATCATATTTGAATTTAGAAGAACAGATAGAACAGGTACCTAAATCATCAAATCTCTTAAGGATTTACATGATACATGAGCATCTTTTTTTGTGACACATGCACAGACCCTCATATAAACAGCAGAACAAATATATAATGATTTTATCTACCAAGTGTTAAGGTACTAGAGTGATCTTTGGAGATGATAATTGTTTCTATTGGGAGACCGATTGGTCCAGGCAACTCGATTATAAACATATGACACCACATTGTCACCACTTAAGGCCCTAAGGTTGTTTTGTAAATGTTTGTTTCTTGAATTCTTTATTGCAACAACTTTCATGACCTGCTCCAAATTAAGTAGATAAAAAACCAAAGACAATTTCATGTGGTTTCTGGTGGAAGCGTAGGACTTGGGCCACTAGTGGTCTGTGAGAGAGGTAATGCGCAACTCTATTCTTCATCATTGATTTATGGTGGATTTCTGCGCCTTTGTCCGTGTGGTCATAGGCTATAAGCTGAATCACATAAATTTGTGTTCTCTGTTCTTTCACTTCTTTGCATCTGTTTTCACTTCATTTTGTGTGCCATATGAAGTTGTTTGCACAACACTGGTCCTTGGCCATCTTTGCCATCCTATTTTCTAAACCATTTAGCTTTTGGATTGAAAACCTCGTTGAAGTGGATCATAATTAATGTTTCTTCCCAGTTCAGTGAGTATGTTAACAATTTTATATTCAGGAGGAGATGAGTATAGGGTCATATGACTCATATCTACAGCATGATAAACGTATAAATATTTACATAAATGCAAAAAACTTGCAGTGCACAACGTCAATTTTATATCTAAGACGTATACAAGACTACATGAATGTATTATACATAGTGAGTGCCAAGTCCCTTGTGCATGCGTGCATGCAAGGTACATACTACATACTGCATACATATGATTCATACATGAGCAACATAGTCAACCATATAATATATCTATTTGTATATCATATATCTTTATGCAAGTATTGATTTTGAAAAGAAATGTATATACATATATGCCATCAAATTGAACTTTAAACAAGATAAACTAGTTTGGTGGTTAAGAACAATTAATTTCAATTTTAGGCATTGCTTCCAATCACAACTTTAAAATTAAAAAGTCGTTAAAATTTCAAGCTTCCCATCGTTCATTCTATCCCAAAATACGGCCTAGCAAACCATCACCCCAAGCCCCCACCCACACCCACACCCAAAAAATAAAAAAAAAAAACTGATGCCTCTTGAGTCTTGACCCTCGAGAGGCATCGGATTTTAAAATTAGTAAAGAGGACGACAGATCATGATGGCTCTTTACTTTTAACCACTCCAATGAAAAATAAGTTTAGAATTCTCCAAAATGAATGAGTTCTAACCTGAAATATCAGTAATGGAGCTCTTGATGGTCACTAAAATTCAAATATCCATGATCACTAATATTCTCCTTAGTGGTTGGGGGCAGCCGGGCAGGCATCCAACCATACATTGAACCAGGAGGTTATTTTCAATGAAATGGCCCCAAAAAATGGGAACGAGAAATAAGGTTATTTTCAAAAAACAAAAAAAAAAAAATCATTGAACCAGGAGGTTCGCATGATTATTGAGTTCGGGCCCTGATTCAACAGTCCTGTCCAGTTTCAAATCTAGTTGAGTTCAACAACCAGATCATAACAAAGGGTCCGGTCCTCGTCTAACCATGCAGTCCATTCCACTCCTTAAAACGCTGAACATACAGTTGAAAGGGAAGGACTAGGAGGAACAAATTCCAGTAAAGAGAACATGTGAAAGAACTTTCAGAAAGACCCAAATATCAAACAAGGTCAGAGAAAAGGCAAGACAATATTTCTTTTCCCCTTCTTCACGGGGCTACACAACGGGGGATATCCCATGTTTTATGTCATCTTGTTTCATTTCTTATTTTATACTTCTCGTCTTTTTAATTTTTCTTTTCTATTTTATAATTTTGGGCTGTTAACTCAGATGATCAAACCACTCGAGAAAATATTTCAAGCTTGAGTTTTGCTGATCAAAAAAAAAAAAACCTTTCAAGCCTGAGTAGTTTAATATCCATTTATCCAATACAATTACCAAATCATCATATCATATGAAATAAAAAGATAGCTATGTCAGGGGCACATATTAGGCAGGTCTGGTTAGTCTCTAGGTTAATCCAAACCCAATGCCACTAACCCTCAACAGAGTGGACCGTGGAACCATTTCTACGGCTGACCCATAACATTTGAATTAAAGCTATGATAAAAGGGTAAATTACAAAAGACCCCCCTGTAATATGAGGTCAGTGGCAATTTCCCCCCTGAACTTTTACTTTGCAACAAATACCCCCCTCCATTATAGTTCTGTCAATTAACTTCAAAAAAGATTCTCATTTAGCTGTTTAAAATTTTAAATCCCCAAACTACCATTTTCTTATTTATTTGAATGATTTATGATTCAATTAGTTTTCTAAATATAATATTTAAGTCCTCTCATTTGCTCTAATAAATCCTTGTAGATTTCTGGCTGGATTCAATATTCAGGTGAAATGGTAGAGGTTTCTTTCTGATAAATATAAATTTAAGGTTTCACTTGGTTTTTCTTGGTTTATTGGAGAGAGAGAGGATAATTTTTTTTTGAAGCCCAAGCTAATTTTATATTTTAAGGTGAATTTAAAGAAACTTCTTTTTCTATTTCAGTGAAGTGATTCTTGTTATTTTAGCTGGTTTCTTTTGGAGATAATGGAGGTATTCTTGGGTCAATTAGGTTTAAGAGAAAAGGGTGAGGAAAAGAAAATAAGAAAAGTTCATGTGGTTATTTTGGTAATTTAATGCATTCCATCATCTGACTTAATGGCTAGGGGTATTTGTTTCAAGGTGAAAGTTCAGGGGATCTTTGTTGCAAATGCAACCTCATGGGGTAATTGTCACTGAGCCCATGGTACAGGAGGGTCTTTGTAATTTACCCAAAAAGACTTGCAGATATTTTTGCAACATAAGAAAAAAAAAATCATCTTTTTCTGGATAAATCTAGAAAGGGTTCGACTATGATACTAGAAAGACATAATACCAGGGGGAAAAAACTCGTAACCAATCAACCAGTATCATAAAAGTGGTAACCAATCGGGTGGTTATTTATGAAATTCACAGGGTTTGATGGTCAAAACCCTTCTGGTATCATGTTTTCTGGCAACATAGTTTCTTCCTAAAATCATACAAATTAATCATAATCATGCATTGTGAGTATTAAAGAATTGGGAAAATTCTTTTATAATCCCAAATTTGCTCTAAGAACCTTCAAAAAATCACTCCTGCATATAACAGAAGCTAGCTCGGCAATGATGTCTAAAACTCTAGTAGATTTTCAGATGATTGAACTTGATCTTCCTCAATCTTCATTTGAGAGCAAGGCAGACAGCTTTTTGGAGCGAATCCTTTAAAGATATAGGTATAAAGCTCGAATTAGTTAATTAAAGCTTCCATATATGATAGATTGAAGGTTCTAACACTTACAACAACAGGATTCAGACACAACATATTGCATGACTCATGGTGTTGGAACCTGCAGGCTATTTGATATTTTATCTTTTTTATCTGATGTTTCCATTTTGATGCTTGTGCATCCTATAAACAGGTGAATATGAAACCGGATCAGAAGCAGCCAGCTTCTCATTTCACTTCTTTGAATTCCAATTATTGAATTTGAATCACGAAACCCAGTAAGTATATTGCCATCTTCCTTATCACAAGGATATCTAAAATTTAGGATATACATTAAGATAGTAAAAAATCAATACCATAAATATAAATATTATATACTACAAAATATGAATGAACAATCAAAATTTAATAATGGCTTTCTTTAAATTAAAACAAAAAAAACCAATATAAAACCTTGAGATAAACCCGGGAAAAATTCTATTTATCCATACTTCCCACAGAAGTTCATCTTCTGGAATATGTTCAGGTCAGGTAATCATTATCCCACAGATGCAAACATATAGCCAGAGAAGAAGCAGCAAATAATGCAAGTATGATATAATGCCTTTAATATGTTCTTTGCAACTAGGTTGATACAAGAACTGAATAGTTTGAGATTGGACTTATTTCTTGGTTTGTTTCAAAATGTGTGGACAATGGTGCAAGTGATCTTTGATTATATGTTTTCATGTCTAGATGGAATAGTAATCAGCTTGTTTGTGAAAATAAGCTGAGCTTTCAACATGTTCTGGAAACTTAAAGGATAACCAAGGGTATTTTTGTCCTTTAATATGTTCTGTGGATCTTAATGGTAGAATGTTCTGACAGGGCATATTAAGTAATTTCAGAAACCACATTGTATACTTAAGTATTTTTGAGATACCTCAGGGTATATTTAAGTAATTTCCCCTAAAAAGTTTTACTCCTTGATAATCTTGACAGCAATTAGGATTAGTGAAGAAAGACACACCTTTAGAAGATCAAAGACCTTCTCACATATGTACTTCTGTTGAATGCTCGCACCCCGTTGCTGAAGTTTGTCAGGATGAACACAAAGAGTGGCTTTCCTGTAGGCTTTCTTTACAGCAGCAGCTGTTATAACTTCTGTTAATGGAATTGGCTGCCAACCACTATCAGGTCCAAGGATCTGCTTAACAACAAAAACCCAATTAACTACCAAAAAAACAAAAGCAATGTATAGTTTACCATCTTTTCAATCAAAACCACATTGAACAGTAAGGTGAATTACAGCAGCAAAAGGTTGTAATAATAAAGAAGAAACTTTTTTAGCAATAGCAAGTAGCTTTTATTAGATTAAATAAGAAGCTTTCTTCACTATTTAGAAAGTTAACAAGTTGTTAATAGTGGCATAATATACTAACCACCAATGACAAATTGCAAATGTAATATTCATATCTCAGTAAACTTTTGAGAAATGCAGTGCTATCTAATTTCTTAATACAAAGGGGTCATTTTAACTTTAGTTTTTGACATCATGCTCATGTGAACTATACATAATTGTTAAAGCTAAAATAAAATGTTACATCACGTATAACTTGAGCATGATCATGAATGTAGCATAAAACTGTACTAATGGAACTTTAATTAAAAAAAAAGCTACTTCTTTTACTGGATGCAGCCCAATGATTGCACCATCAAGTCCCCAAGAAAACAGGGAGTGTGCTATGAGCAATCAATGGGGGAAATGCATTTTTCAGTTTGTTGAAAACATTAAGTCAGTAGGATCTGTAAGCCATAATACATTAAAAGCCCCGTTAAATCAATATGGTGCATGCACACACTCAAAAGTTCAATGGATTGGTCCTGATTAGATGATGTACCTTATCTCCAACTACAAACTTGTATGTGTACATAAGCTAATTGAAATTTATAGCATAATACATATCAAGGTTTTTAAAACCGAACCAGTCAGGGGTCTGGTTCCTGGGAACAGATGGCCTGTTCTGACAAAAAATACAAAACGGCCAAAACCATTGGATGGTTCAAACGGTTCGACCGCCCAGGTCAGTGGTTTGCTGACCAAATCAACGGTTTTTGGTGAAATAACGGTTCTGGAGTAAAATGGAACCGGTCACCTGACCGGTTCCCTTTCCGGTCCGACCCTCCGGTCCGGTCGGGTTTTGAAAACCATGATACATATCATTAGATGCTTGTTGAAGACAGGAGGCATACATATTGTAGTGTTGAAAGCAGTGCACGCAAGTTCCCCTCTTTCCCACTGGACCACCTTTTGACATCAGCATCAAGGGATTCTGCTAGCCTCTGTAATCAGAATAAGATCCAGGCCAGTCAGACAACAATGCAAGCCTATTCAGTCACCATTCCTCCAACAATTTGGAATCTATAATGATGCAACCAAGCAAACCTCTAAATTGTATAAGCAAATAATTTACATGTCTCTCTGCTTGCTCTCTATGAGCAAGAAGGTCACGCATATTTTTCTCTGCTAGGGCTTTTGCCTGAAATAGAAAAAACAGAATGATTTATCTTCTTTAAGTTAAGGTGTGGAAAAAATTAAAAAAAAAAAACACCCAAATTTAACAAGCATGGAACATACCACACGTTCAACTGTTCGTTGATGCCTTTGTAACCTAGCTTTACATCTCTGGGCTGATTCAACTTCTGCTCCTTGTAATTTCTCAGCAGCATAGGAAGCTAATTTATACAAAAGAAGCACTGTTTAGAGTAAGAAGTGCAACTAAATTTCTAAATGAAGAGTGTCAGGGCATGATACAGATACAATGCTCTGTAGAAACAATCAGTGTTACTCCAAAATCATATACCAGAATAATTTGAAGAATTTGGATATCGTGAACCACCATAGGAACCTGAGCTTTGAAACTGTGGGTTCTGTAGGTCCTGCATTTGGACATTTAGTTAGAACAGCAAAGAATATGCACCTCAAATAAGAAGTATAAAGGGTTTTGTGTAACTAAAACCAATTACACTTACGGAAGTGCTTTGCTTCAAACCACCATCCCTAGGAGTAGTGGAAGACTTTTCAGCAGAAGATCTTTCTACACGTTCTCTTGCCTCTAAAGCAGCTTTTTCCACAGCACGCTCCCGAGCCTCTGCAGTTGCTCTCTCCACTGCAGCACGTTCTGCCCTAAGTTTGGCTTCTATAGAAGCCTTCTCAGCTAGTGACTTCTCCCGAGCTTCTGCAGAAGCCTTCTCTAATCTTTCTCGAGCCTCAGCCATTGCTCTTTGTCGAGCTTCAGCTGTCGCTCTCTCCACAGCAGCTCTTTCTGCCCTTTCACGAGCATCAGCAAATGCCCTTTCACGAGCTTCACGGGTTGCTCGTTCAACTGCCATCCTGTCTTTTTCTCTTTCCCTTTCCCTCTCCCTCTCTTCTTCTATTTTTCTTAGTCGCTCCTTTTCCTGATCTTTTTCTCTTTGCATTTCTTCTTTTTCCTTCACCTCTGTCACAATAGTGTCACTATAGTTCTTCTTTCTTCCTGCATTGTAGCTTGTATTGAACTCCTGAGATACTTTTGGCATGTTTCCTTTCTCTTCCAAAGCATTTCTTCCTTTCTCTTCCCACTCATGGATTATCTGAGGGACTCTTACTTTTCCCTCAAGGTTTTCCTGAACACACCCCACCTGATAAGTTTTGTTATTTTTGAAACTCTGATCTTGACAACCATCTATATCAGATTCTCCTAATTTCTTCTGATTGTCATCTAACGGAAGTGTCTCTGTCACATTTTTCATTTTGTTTTCATTTGCATCATATTCATGGGCAATTGAGTGAGCTCCTTTGAACCTCATATTTCCATCTTGTTCATTCATCACATTAGCTGCTCTCCATTCCTTCTCCTCTGCAAGTCCATCAACATTTTTGCCAAAGTTTTCCATAACTTCTTCCTGAACTGCTTTCAATTTCCCAGTAATTTCATGTTTGCAGGTCTCTTGAATTGATTCTAAATTCTCATGATCATTCTGTATGCATGTCTCATTAGTTGCCTTCAAATTTATCTCCTCTTTGTGCTCATGAGTTTCTTGACCTGCTTTTAGTTTCTTCCCATTTTCTACTTGCTCAGGAGGTACTTTTTGATTGTTTAAATTTTCTTCCTGCTCACAACCCTCTCTTGGTCTCTTCTCATTTTCTTCCCACTCATGGCATTCTATTAAATTCTTCTCAGTTTCTTCCATGTCACAAGCCTCTCTCTGTCTCTTTTCATTTTCTTCTCTTTTAAAACCTTTCTTTAGTCTATTTTCAATTTCTTCCTGTTCACCAACCTCCTTCAATCTCTTTTCACTTTCTTCTTTGTCTTGCGCCTCTTTTAATTTCCTCTCATGTTCTTTTTTCTCATAAGCCTCTTTTGATCTCTTGTCCTTTTCTTCCCTTTCATGGGCTTCTTTCAATCCCCTCTCCTTTTCTTCCCTCTCACAAGCCTCTTTCATTCTCCTTTCGTTTTCTTCTCTCACATGAGCCTCTCTCAATTTCTTTTCATTTTCTTCTCTCTCAAGAGTCTCTCTCAATCTCTTTTCATTTTCTTCCCTTTCATGAGCCTCGCGTAATCTCCTTTCATTCTCTTCCCTTTCATGAGCATCTTTCAATCTTCTCTCCTTTTCTTCCCTTTCACGAGCCTCTCTCAATCTCTTTTCATTTTCTTCGCTTTCATAAGCCTCTTTCAACCTTCTCTCCTTTTCTTTCCTTTCATAAGCCTCTTTCAATATCCTCTCATTTTCTTCCCTCTCCTGGGCTTCTTTCAGTCTCCTCTCATTTTGTTCCTTCCCACAAGCTTCTTTCAATCTCTTTTCATTTTCTTCTATCTCATGGGCCTCTTTCAATCTCCTCTCATTTTCTTCCCTCTCCAAAGCCTCTTTTAATTTCCTCTCATGTTCTTCCCTTTCACAAGCCTCTTTCAATCTCTTTTCCTTCTCTTCCCTCTCAAAAGCCTCTTTAAGTTCCTTCTCATTTTCTTCTCGCTCATGAGTTTCTTTCAATCTCCTCGCATTTTCTTTCCTTTCAAAAGTCTCTTTAAGTCTCTTTTCATTTTTTACCTGTTCACAAGCCTCTTTCAATCTCCTCTTATCTTCTTCTATTACACAAACCTCTTTTGGCCTCTTCTCATTTTCTTCCTTCTCATTAGCTTCTTTTAGTTTCCTCTCATGTTCTTCCCGCTCAAGAGTTTGCTTTAGTTTCTTATTGCTTTCTTCCTGCTCATGACCATGAACCTTATATGCCTCTTTTAGATGCTTCTCATATCCATTCCATCTGCATGGTTCCTTGGTTGTTTTCAACTTCCTATCACCTTGTTCCCGTTCCTGAGCTTCCATAGCTGTTTCAGGGGCTACTCTTAACTTATTATCTGTTTTTATTAGTTCATAAAATTGTCTCTCTGCTTTCCATTCTCCTGCTCCATCTTCCTGACTTCTAGACTGTTGAACTGACTTTGATCCCTTCATGTGATTTTGCTCTAAAGATTCTTTAGCTAAGTCTAAACATTTTCCACACTTTTCTAAATCAGGAGCTACCTGGTTGGCACCCATGGCCTTTTGCCCTTCCTCCCTAGAAATATCTTTAGTTCCAGTACCCTCTCTTTCACAAGTCTCATGAGTTCTTTCTTCCTTGAATATGTGGACTTCATGAGCAGCTTTACCCTCTCTTTTTTCCTTATTCTTTAAGTCATCTTTCAATCCCAGCTTCATCCGTCCTTGAAGACCATCCCTCTTTCTTTCCATTGATTCTTTTGCACTTTTTAGTCTTGCCTGAGCTTTCTCCATTGCTTCTTTCATAGCAGCCGCAGAGGCTGCAGCTGCTGAACTAGCATCTACCTCCACATCAAAGAAAGGAGGTGAAATGTTACCTGCAGCCCCTTCATGACCACAATTTTTAGAAGAATTAGCATTGGATGGCATCAACCCGATAGCATCTCCCTGTTTGATAGCCAATTTAGGTGGTTGCCTTACAGGTGGTGGCACTGGAGAGGGTTGTGTCTTAAGGCTGATTTCAGAGACGGTTAAAAACACCTCTTTAGGGTTAGATTCATTCCTTCCAGACCCTTGTCGAGTTCTGAAATCATTCAAATTGGTCTTTGAGGCAGTACAATGTGTAGTGGAATGTGATGTAGTTATCCTGATATTTTGTCCTTCCATTATCCCCACACTAGGATCCACATCAAAACTGATATCATCAGTTACCTGTGTTGGTAGTTTCTCACCTTCAGCCCCTCGCAAATGAGCACTTTCATCAACTACAGATGTAAATGCCGGAACTGCCTGGTGTTGGTTTACATGTGTTGTCCCATTTGTCCCATCTTCATTTCTTTGATTAGCTTTATTATGTGAAATATTGCACTGCTTCACACCATTAACTGAGTGGTCAGAGGCTGCATTTGACAAAAGTTGGTCCTTTTCTGAACAAGCGATATCTCCATTTGACCCTTCTGAAAGCGAACCTGTTTCAGCTGGTGTCCTATGCAAGCAACAGGCAGGAAAGGAAGGAGAAAATGAAATATAAGATGAAATATTCAATCCAGAATAAAAGACACAAAACCCAGAAAAGACGGGGGGGGGGGGCGGCAAAGAAAAGTTTCCCTTGATATCATTATTTATTAATTTTTAGAAAGATGTAGCAAAAATAAAAATATTAAAGTAATACAGAACAAAGGCCTTTGAGGGTGAGTGCTACTTTATTAAATGATAAAAAATACACTATTTAATTATTTTCTGGGAATAATATAGCAGAGGCAGGTGAATTAACTCAGAATTATAAAATTGAAAAATCCCTGGCTTGAGAAATATCACATCTTGTTAACAGAGATGATTCCAGAAAAGCTATTGCTTGAAAAGCATCATCTACAAGACCTCCTAACATTTAAACCATGTCCACCTTTCCCAATTCCCAAGATTTCAGGTAGCTGGGGACAGCACTAGCTAATGGTCTTTTTAACATCTGCTGAAACCATTAATAGTTGGGTACATGAAGAGAACACCAAGGTACCTGAGTAGTGAATATATAACTGCTTGACAACAATGATAATGGCATCAAAAGAAGGTGCTTTCTGTGGGTTAGCTTTTCCAAGCATTTTAAGGGCATCTTGATTTCTGATCTTCACAGAAATGTTGTAAAATTCCTTTTTCTCCTCCCCAAACCTTTAATCATACCCCAAGTATTTAGCAAGAGAGGGGAAAGGGGTGATGCACTTAATTTTGATGGGAGTGCTTCTGGAAATACGGGGATGCTGGAATTGGAGGAGTAATCAGAGGAAGGGACGGAAATGTTTGCTGGGTTTTCAGTGGACTAGTGGGATTACCAACTCACCAAAGGCTGAAATTTTGGCTGCACTCACAGGTATTTACATTGCTAGAAGTTTGAGTATCTCGCATTTAACCATTAGAGGAGATTCAACAAATAACATCAAGTGGCTAGGTGATAAGGAGGTTGGCCCTTGGAAGGCTAGCACATTACCTCACTGAAGCTAGAGAGTCTGAGTTCTGTGTTTCTTAATCTGCAATGGATCCCTAGGAATCAAAACACAACTGCAGATGGGCTAGCTAAATCTGGTGCTCACTTGAGTTGTTTATATAGTGATAGATCTTTGCCTCTGTAGCCTTTTGCTATTTGGTTTGCTTTTTCTGTGTACCTCTCCTCATGTATTTCCTCCTTTCAATAATAAAATTCTATTATCTTTCCTCAAAAAAAGAAGGTGAAATTCTAGCACACAGTTCCAACTGTTCTCACAAAGCACTACAGACACCTGGGGGCATGAGAAGGAATGCTGCAAAACAGTGGTTTTCATAGGCCCTACCATGTCTGTAGCAGGGTTAAAGAAACCAAATCAGCTCCTTGATAGCATGGTTCTAAACAATAATAAACAAAAACTACATATTTAAGTGGTGAGGGTTTATAAATCCCAAGGATTGCATATGGAAGTTAACATTAACAAGTAGAATGATTCACTGGATATTAGGCTCATGGTGCTTTTATTACAAAATTAAAAATACAATTCTTCAAGACATTGTGCTTTTGAACTTTCAGTGAACATAAGTGGTGTTATACTTCCAATTTGTACAAGCATTTTGATACTTCTTGTTTGACAATTCTAAGTACCATTTTATTATATTTGTTAATTCGGGACTGCATCTGGATTTTTGAGGCTGTGGGGTTAAGCGGGAGTTTTTAGATGTAAACAATAATCCAGCTCTGGCTGGATATCATCTCGTCTAACACTGTATGTGTGATATCACAAATCTGATGATGGTTCATTTCAGAACCATGAATGAAAATTCAGCCCACAATACTACAAGGATGCACCAATCCATGACAAGAGCTTGATAAGCCAATAACTTGCATTAATATGAACAGAAATGACAATTTTACTATTTAGTATCTCAAATGTGCATTTTATACATTTTTATCAGTAATGCGCACTGTATACTTTACCTCTTAGATTTTTCTTATGCACGAATCACGAATTTAAAAGGGAAATCATCACCCACAATGTTAAAATAACAAATATAGATAAATTGTAACAGTTTCAGACTTTCAGCATTTCCCTCTTTCGGGTTGATTATGCTGGAGCAGAGCAGTTTCAATGAGTCAGATTAGATCCAAAAGGGGGAAAACAGCAAAAAAGAAAAAGAAAAAGAAAAATGTCTTCCTACTTGATCACCGTTGACGTCGTGTTGCATTACACGGGCACTTACTAATAAACATTCAAAAAGCAAAATTTCCTCAATAGTTTTCCTTCACTAATTTGGTCTCATACACTATCCTATCATCAAACCTTTCGTGATGACTGGGTTAGCTATGGTCCCACCAACGCCCATGTCAATTGATTAACTCGTTTAAAAGCCAAACATATGACTCACTCAAACTGAGAATACCAGGTACTCATATTGTTCTTCACGAAAGTCGGTTGAAGTTGAAATTCCAACCGCTGAGAATAACTCGAGCAACAAATGAAATAACAGCAAAAAGGTCTAACACCATCCCCTAGCATTGGAAAACATTCTTCTTCAAAGCAGAAAAAAAGGAAAATGAAGCAAAGTCAGACAGCTTCTAACGGAGAAAACAACGTACCAGGCCTCGTCAGAAGCCGCTTCTTTTGGCTCCGCAAACAGTTCCTCGTAAGAATCAGCAAAATCTACAACATCGAAACCGCCAAAAATCTCCGCATAATCAAACTTTGAGACTGGAACATCAAAGGAGACATCGGCCCCGTTGACAACCGGGAGATCTAGAATTGGAATCGAAGAACCACGAGAAGTGCGAAAGTTGCGGAAAACCTCATTGTAGTCTTCTATCCGAGACGAGAAGGTTGGAACTCCAAACTTGGGAGGACCACCGAAGACGTCATTGTAGACAGTTGTAGAAGTGAAGCCATTTCCATTAGAGACTTTCTTCGCGAGAGTTGCAGAGGCTTGACTTCCGTGCAGGGAATGAGAATGTGAGGAATCCTCCATGGAATGGAGCCTCTAGGCTTTTCGCTTTTCTTTTCTCTTCTGCTCCCTTGCTCGAGAGAGAAAAGCGAAAGAAAAAATAGAGTTTCAGGTGTGCAGAGTGAGGAGTGAGGAGCGGAAAAGGAGAAAAGAGAAGGACGAAAGAGGAGTTTGTCTTTTTTGTCTATTTTCACTCATAAAAAATGCAAAGCAAAGATGAATGTGCTTGTCTTGCTGTACAACAGTCAACAGTGTATTGGGTGTAGTGTTCCAGCTTTTATGATAATCGACAATCTTTTGCCGACGATACATCAAGCAGATCGGCTGTTTAGTTGATGAGAAGGATGGAAATGGATGACCAGTGAAGCCGGTGACATGATTATTATGGCCTTCGCCTTATGGGTTGGGAAGATAACCTATTTCCCGCTTGGCGCTTGCTTCGCACCAAACGGTCCAAACGTCCCAATGGGCAATGGCCCCCCAATACAATCTTTTTCTTTTTTTTTTTTAATTGACCAACAACTAAAACTCCTTTGTCAAGTGCTAACAACAGAAACGTTCTTTGACTATATGTTAAACTTTCCTTTCTTTTTTTTTTTTTTGGTTGGGCAAACAATTTAAAGGCTTTTATTTTGTTTTTCCTTCTTTTTTTTTTTTTCTAAAGAGAATGCTAAGGCTTAAGTTTCGATCAATCTTAATTTATTTTACTAAGATACATCTAAACCATGGATATTAACAAATTGATCTGGGCACACCTTCCTCCTTAGGTCTTAACTGAGTTGAGATTTATCAAAATGACAACGATAGCCTTTTTTTGGTTGCTTCTCACAACTTAGAAGCTGAATCATGAAATAAACTGTATAATTAAAAAAAAAAAAAGAAAAAGTTGGTGATGTGGGCACGTGAACCATTTATAATACCACCCTGTATAATCAAAAGATAATACTACCCTGTGTTTGGAAATTGGATGGTGAGGGTGTGAACCATTTATTTTTCAATTTTTGGTAAATGCATTTATGGGTATTTGATGGATCATTGGTTGCCCGGCCAGCGGCCAGCGGCCAGCGGCCCATTTCAACAATAAGGACCTCGAGAAGGACTGGCGTCTGGCGGGCAGGCAATACGATACTGAGAGCATCTACGAATACAAAACAAAAATCCAAAGATCCAGATCCTCTATATATATAATGATCGGCCCATATTACGAGTTGAATCATGGACAGACTTGTTGCTCAAAACCCTACTGATTAATAATCTCCCATTATTGATAGCAGCATATTTATAACAATTAGGGCATGGGCCACTACTTATCTAAAATAAGAGAGACTCGGAGACATTTAACCTATGCATGCCACTTAGGAAGTGGGAAGGGGATAAGATCTAACATTAATGTCTCTAAATAAGCCACACCAACATCAAACAAAAACACTTTGTTTTTTTGAATATGTATCATCCTTTCAAGATAAAGTGTAAACACTTTCAATTTCATCAAGAAAAATAATTCTACTTCTGATTCTCCCTCTCCACGAACCACGATAAAAGAAAATGACACTTTTCAAAACAAAAAACACATCTTCATTTTCTCACAAGGCGAGATACCATTTGGTGTACGGCACACTATGCCAAAATCTCCTCAAACACCTTTTTAGATGTGCTGTTTTAAAGTTCCTATGAAGCTAATTATGGCGGTCTTCGGCATCTTTCGGTTCATGGACATGGAAGTTTGAAACATGAAAAACAAAAAAAGTAATGCACCGAATAACCAAAAAGAAAAAAATAGGGAAGCCTCAGTTTTAACGATGATTACCAAACAGTCTTTGATAATGGACAAACAAATAGAGAGGAGAATGAATAATTTTGTAAATAATTGTGTATTAATCTTGTAAGGTATATTATATATGCCTTACAACTGGGTTGTAAAAAAAAAAGGAAATTGTAAAAGGAGACTAAATCAAATCTGTGATTACCTCAAACTCAAGGTGGTGCAGTAAAACATATATTGAGTTTGGAAGTAAATTTAGAAAATGCCCTAGTGAGTGAGCTTTAGTGAAGGTGTTTGCAATCTGGCCTATAGAAGTGCAATGCCATTGTGAATATGTTGTCTAATGAATTGATAATCTGTTTCAATGTGTTTAGTGTACTCATGAAAGACATCATTATGTTGCACTATAATTGTCACAATAAAGTAAAGTCAGGCCTTGATGTTTGACTCCTGTATCTTCTAATAAACATCAAAGCTAAATAAGTTCAGCAGTGTTGTCTACAACTGCTCTACATTCAAATTCAGTGCTGAATCGAGAAACGACAATTTGTTTCTTACCACGCTAGGAAGTAGGATAATTATCCAAAAGAAAACAATAACTAGTTGTTGAACATCTATTAGTGGGATTGCCAACCCAATCGGCATCTGAGTAAGCACTCAATTGTAAAGAAGAATTAGTAGCAAAGTGTATTCTATAAAAAAGAGTACCCCTGATATAACGGAGAATATAAAGGACCGCAGCATAATGACTAGAACAAGGGGTTGTCATAAACTGATTGACAATATGAACTGCATGAGCAATGTTTAGGCGAGTGACAGTAAGATATACAAAACTTCCAACAAGTTGCTTGTAGAGTATGGGATCTAAAAGAGGAGTGCCATCTGTAAGGGTTAGTTTGGCATTAGTCTCCAGTAACGCAAAAGTGGTCTTATTATCTGTTAATCCAACTCGAGAAATGAGATCAAATGCATACTTGGCTTGAGATAAGTAATACCTATCAAGTCTAGTTAACTTCAAGGCCTAAAAAATAATTAAGTAGACCTGAATATTTCATTTCAAATTCTTGACTAAAGTGCATTTTAAGTTCATAAATGCCAAAATATCATCTCTAGTAAGGAGCATGTCGTTCAGTAATGAGTTGAATCATAAGAATTGGAGGTAAAGCCAAACCGAGACATACTAGTACTAAATTTTGATAACCATGCACGAGGAGCCTGCTTGAGACCATACAAAGCACAACGAAGGCAACACACTTTATTAGGTGGGTGAGAATAACCAAGTGGGGGTTGCATATATACCTCTTATGTAAGGTCACCATTAAAAAATGCATTTTTTACGTCCATTTGAAATAATTTTCATTGGCATGCTACAACAAATGCAATTAAACTCCTCACATAAGTAAGTCAAGCAACAGGGGAAAACATCTCATCATAATCAATGCCATACTCTTGAGTGAATCCTTTAGCTACAAGTTGTGCTTTATAATGCTCAAATGAGCCATTAAAGTGGGTCTTAATTTTATAGACCCATTTACAACGCACTATTAATTCTTCAAGAGGTAAATCAACAAGATTCCAAGTACTTGTTTTTTCCAAGGCTTGTATTTCGTCTGCCATTTCTTGATGCCAAAGAGGAGCAAAATTGGCCTCGCGAAAGGTACGAGGTTCATAAAGAGAACTAATGGCAAAAGAACAATGATAATCACAGAGATGACTAGGAAGTTTGCTTACCCTTGTATAGTGACGTAGAGAAACAACATCAAAAGAAGTTTGTGAATAGAAACAGGGGGTGTATGATTAGCAAATGGAACAGTGTTATTAGGAAAAGTTGTAACAGTGGGCATTAGACTGAGCTCACTAGAGACTCTTGCATAAGCATCGTCAGAAAATAACTCAATAAAAGGATTAGTGGAGAAAGAAGGGGTTGAAGGAACAAAGAATGTGACAATGGTTGAAAACATTTTATGTTCCCAAAAACAACATGACGAGATATTTAGAGTCTTTGAGAAATTGGATCCCAACACCGATAGCCTTTGGGCTCAATCCCATAACCCAGGAAACAACATAATCGAGAACAAGGTCCAACTTTGCTACGCTCATGAGATTGAAGTTGAACAAAACAAACACAGCCAAAAACTCAAAGCAAATTATAGTTAGGAGGAGTACTAAGGAACCACTCATAAGGAAACTGATTTTCAATTATTGGAGAGAGATTGTGATTAATGATATAAATAGCAGTAAGTGCAGTTTCTCCCCAAAACTGTTCAAGACACGAGGTAGAAATAAGAAGTGCACGAACAGTATACATTCTGCCCTTCTATTTTGTTAGAGGTGTAAATCGAGTTGTGCCACTTGTAGCCTATCACAATTTTCAGTCAGCCCTACACGATGGTTCACGGGTCGTGTCAGGCATGGCACGATTGTATGGTCCATGACAGGCTTAGGGTTTCAGGTTCGCAGGCTAGGCCGACACAACAAGACCAAGCTAATCATAGCTTGAGACCAAGCAACATAGTTTGAACCATTCAGCACCGTTTCAAAAGGTCTGGAAACCTTAGACCGAATCTCACCAACTGCCATGATGAGATAAGTAACTGGTCCCTGGAAGGTGATAGTGAAACAAGTTGGCAATTGAGGTTTCACTAGTGAATATAATGAATGAAAACAAAGACATGACCAAAATGTTGTAGCTCTGGTACCATGATAATGTACAAACAAAGACAGAGGAGAATGAACAATTTTGTAAAGGGAAAATTCTTGATTAGTACCTTGTACTTTGGCTTGAGTGAAAATTTGGTCCACGAACTTTAAAATGCGACAATTCAATACCCAAACTTTCAAAATGTGACAATCCAGCACCCGAACTTTCAAAATGTGACAACCCAGTACTTGCCTTTAACCAGTTCATTAATTAGTCGTTTAAGTGACATTTGAAAAGTTAAAAATGCCCTAAGAATGCCATTTAATTCTCTTTATCAACCATCCAAACATTGACAATATAATGAGCAGTCCCAAATTCTAGATTCTTCTAAACAATCACCGGCATTTTTTAATAGAAGAGGCTAGGATTTGGGACTATTTAGTTTTTTTGTCAACGTTTGGGCAGTTGATAAAGAGAATTAGATGGCATTCGAAAGGCACTTTTGACTTTTCAAATGTCACTTAACAGATGATTAACGGACTAGTTAGCGGTAGGTACTAGATTGTCACATTTTAAAAGTTCAAATACTGGATTGTCACATTTTAAAGTTCAGGGACCAAATTGCCACTCGAGCCAAAGTACAAGGTACTGATCAGAAATTATTTCTTTTGTAAGTAATTATGTATCAATCTTATGTATTATATACAAAGAGAAGGAAATTTATACAAAATAAAACTAAATCAAATCTCTGATTAGTGTAATTACAGCAAGACACAACCAATATCATATCTTAAAAGCCTTCATCTTT